CGTTCTGGACATAAGTAAAATAAGAGAGCAAACAATCTAGTTATCTGGTCTAAGATGACCTACTCTTTTCTTTTGAAGATCAAATACTCTAAATTCAAAGCTCAGCAAAAGTAAGGCCAACCAAGAGCCATTTAACAAGTCTACAGTAAAGACTCCGAAATTCAGCGTTGCCTCATTGTGCTCGACATTATCAATGAGAAACAAAGGCCACCATTAAACAGTCGATTTTAAGTGCTTATTTTCTCGTTGCACTACGAAGTGAACAACTTTGTGCATATGTGCACTTTGGTCCTATACTCTACTTCAGCGCTGTGCCTTAAGAATACCACCGACAGTGTGTCCAAGTCGCTGACTAAAGACAAATAACTTGTCAAATGACTGCCTTTGAGACTAGATCTGTAATTTAAGAAGGGACCTATGTCAAACAATTACTTTGGTGGAATTTAATTAGACTTTTAGGTAACACATCTCTTTGACTGCCTTTTCAAAGTGGTTTCAGAACTAATAATAATAAACTACAGCTAGACTTTGATCCTAACCTTTTTTTCGTAGTGCACGCCTCAATACTCCATAATGTCGAGAATTGAACAATCGTACCTTTGTTTTTTTTTAACTAACAAAGGATTGCGAGACATTTGTTTACGAGAAATGATGGAAAATGAGGTGACCCTTAGTGGATCCACAACCATAGATCCACTTTTGCATTCAAGTTAGTATGAATGTTTGCTATAAATGCTGATCACACGGCACATTTATGACACCTTGAGCCTTTCCAAAAGTCATAGGAAGTTAGAGTAGTGTGGCAGAAAACATGCATCCGACGCAGGAAGGGGTTGAGAGGCTGCTGACATGAGACAGAAGCCGTATCGCTGAGCGAAGGTATTATCTGCGGAGACTTAGATGTCTGCACAGTCAAACGCAGAGCTAAACGAACTACCAACGCATTCAAATAAAGGTTGACGATTAATACACTTGGGTGGATGGCAGGAGAATACATATTCTGCCGCTGTGGGAGTTTAACTAGCAGCCTCACCATTGGATGCTAGCAAATGGATAGCAAACCAATGTAGAAAAGATTGACTTGCCCTACTCCCAGTAGTGTTTACCTTGCTAAACTTATAACTTTAATCCTATTTATAAACCATTAACCGAATGTGCAGCAACTAGCTCTGAAAAATACAGGACTATCATAATCATGCAATTGTCAAAGTATCGTATTTTGTTATCTATGTTTCCCACTATATTTCAATTTTATTTTGAAACTTAGGCCTTCATGTAAAAATGTGTATGATTAGGGGCTCTAAATTACGCTTCACAGCCATTTCCAATTCTATAGCTTCACCTCATATATCCACTTAATGATTATTTGCTATTTTGGGATGTATTTGCATCAAACTTACTGCGGTTATGCCATTTAAATTTAACGTGTTAATAATTTCCACGCCACTAGACTTGCATAACAAGCGTGCGAACAGCAACAATCCCAAGACTTTGACGTTGAACAAACATCTACATTAATAAAAATCCTAGCAGGCTACCATTTTACAACCTGGCTTTCAGAAGTAATGAGTAATATCCCCTAGTTGGCAAATTAATCAGCTTTTTCCTCAACTCAAACAACCAGATGGAATATGGCAATGTCGCTTTTGGTAATAGCTTATCTTGGTGTGGATAGCGAGAGCCTTATAATCAACATCAACACAACTTCGGGGCGATTCGGAGATGATCGTTCGATGACTAGTGGCATTCTGCACGGCCGCTTAACGCTATAGTTTCGCTCCTCCACGCTCCCCTTTCTTCCCGCAGAGCTGACTCAGAATGCTAGAGACGGTCTGCGTTTTACCAGGCCCTATTTTTTAAACATCTTGTCAATGTGACAATTTTGCCCTAGTTTTTAGTCTTTTGACTGCTTTAACCACCTTCATCCAAGGTGAGGGAAATGCACTCACTTCTGAGGGGGCTGTCCTGCCTTTGAAAAGCTAGGCGGAAAATATTTACTCCTAGCTTTCATCAGTTTAATAATGCGTACCAAAGTTTGGCATGAAGGGGTAGGCGCAACTACCACTACGGATTAGCTTGACACTGCTTACTGAGGCCAGGTGCATCAAAGCTGTGTACCTTGGAAGCCAGGAGGTTATAGGGCATTCAATGAACCAAAAGTAACTCACAAGTCACCAGGCTTGTTGTAAATTAAGTAAAGTGGTGCAATTACAGAATAAATCGTTCAAATTCAGATAGCTTCTTTTAGTATGGCTGAAATAATGCTATAGACAGATTTGAAAAAATCGTATTAAATGTGTAAATACTCGAAAGGTAATTCAAGGTTTTCATGGATGTATTTATTCCACAGATAATGCAAGTTACCCAGACTGATGTAAGTCAAAATAATGCTCTTGACAATAAGTAAAATTTGCCTTGACTAGAAAGATCACGTTATCATGACCGTCGATCTCAGGTACATTTCTGGCTCGGCAGGCATTAAATACCTTCAGAAACCAGGGGAAGAGGGATTGTGAACTTTGTGATGAATATGTTTTACTGTGCTCCAATTATTAGCATCACTGGCTGAGCAGGTAATTTGGGCTACAGCTTCGAACCCATTTTAGATGTACTTGTTCGAGGGGCGTAGTAACAGTGTCTGCGTGCAATGTGTCTGCTGCAACTGTGGAGATGCTGATTCCTCAT